GTAGTATAATTTTATTTTATGAAATCTAAGTTAATAAAAATTAATCCAAAATATATATTTGATTAATTAAACAATTAATATGCTAATTAAAAAAATAATATTATTTAAATAGATTATAAATTTTAAAGTATATATATTTTTATATTATACATACATAAAAAAATTTACGACTTATATAATTACAAAAAAATATCAAATAATAAATTACAGATGTTTTTCTTAATTAATTAAAATGTGTTTACTTTAAATTAATTTAACAAAAACAAATAATAAATTATCATATTTTTTGTATTACAAAACAATTTTTATAGATAAATAAATATTGATCTAAAAAAATTTAACCTAGCTACAAACACATTGTCATTATAATAAATAATTATTATAATAATATTAAAAATGTTAGGACAACAACAAACAAATGATCATGGTGGTTTTAATGGTAAAATATTGACAATGAAACTTGGTTTTATTGTAATACTACTAATAATAATACTGTTTACTATCAAATGCAATGCTGATGATTATCCAGGTAATATATAAATACAGTACAATAGTATACTATTGTATATCTATATTTATATATATATATATATTTATATATATTTCAATTATAAATTTTATTAAATATGTTTTTATTAACAATTTTTTTTAAAATTTTGTTTATTAAAAATAAATTACATATATTTAGACTTATAATGTAATTTTAGTAGAAATATTTGTGTCTAATATTAATTTATATTGTTTGTTTAATATTAATTTATATTGTTTGTTTAATATTATTATTTTTTTATTTATAAAATTATATCAGATTTTGGTAATGGTTATAGAGATTGCGGAAAATAATAATAATAATAATAATAATAAAACACGAAACTTAAAAAACAACTTCATAAAATTAATTGTAATAAGCAATATAATTTAATAGTGTTTTTTATATAAATAAATTAGTTATGTAAAATATATATTTAAATAAAAATTAATATTTACAAATAATAATATAATTTATTTTTATTTAAAAAATTCAATTTATTGAAAATAAATGTATGATATTTAAATATAAACTAATTTAAAAATAATTGATTATAAATTAAATAAATGAAAAAAAACTATAAATTTCAATACAATAAGTACTTTAATTGTTTTAATGAAAGTTTTTTTTAATTACGTTTAAAGTTTATTATTATAGTTATCGTTAAAAATTTATAAATATATATCTATATATTTATTATATTTCAATATAATATATGTAATCTATACTAATATTTTTTAAAATCATTTGATATTTTTTTTAATTAAATAATTTACAGTAATTTTATGATGTATAATTATATATATATATATATATACTTTATAATTTATATCATATTTAAATTATTTATTTATTTTTGAATAGCTTATTTAATTGTTTTACTGTATTAATCAAATATACTGTATATTTGATTAATTTTCATTAACTTAGATTTAAAAACCAGTTAAGAATGCTAGAAAGCATTTTCAGAAAAAAACTTGAATAGCATTGAAAACCATTAGTTTGTATAATTATAGCGGCTATATAGTAACATAAAAATTTAAAAACTGGTGAAATATACATAATATAAATATTGTCATGTATGGTATCAAATGATTCAGTATGACAAAATATTCTCAATTTTAGTCATGCAAGTTATCAAATGACTCAATATGACAAAATAAACAACTACTCATGTGTGTTATCAAATGATTTAGTATAACAAAATAATCATCTATAATTATACTTTTGCCTCTTATACTTATTCTTTGTTCCCGTAGATATCAAAATTTTAATGCATATTTTTTATTCTTGTTTTTGATGCTTTATACAAATCTATAATTAATTTTTTTTTAATTTTCTTATACTTTTGCCGCAATTAAAAAAATTATGCTGATATATTATATCATATTTTTGATGCTCTTTACAATTCTAAACGTCAAAATTTTTACCTATTTTTTTACTTTGGCCGCCATTTTCTTTATGTTCCCGAAGAGATATCAAAATTTTGATGCAACTTTTCAATACATTATTAGTAGTCCTCTAACCGAATCTGAAGTCAGAATTTCAAAATTCGCAAAATGAAATGCTACAGACAGACAGACAGACTCAAAAAGCCATTATAGATTTCAGTAAACAAAACTTTTCAAGTTTTTTTTGAAAATAAAACTATACTGCTTTAAAATATTTAAAAACTAACAAAAAAAATATATACTTATTATAAATAAATTAATTTTAATAATAACTAATATGTAAAATAAATGTTAAATATTTGAGTATAATTACATTAATATTATTTTTATTGTTTTACAACTAAATTTATTATCTAATTTAATCAATGTCAATGGCAACAAATAAAAAATATATAAATATATATATATATTATTTCAGTTATCATTTACACTTTAGAGATTAGTTGTTTGACTACAGTATAAAGTATTGTAATTTTTAAGTTTATTGTTTTGATTTTTTTTAGTAAAATATAAATATATTATTATTAAAAATTAAATCAAAAGAAAACTATTACTATTTAATTAATAATATTTTTTTTAATTAAAAAAATAACATTTAGTTATTTTTTTAAATAAATTGAATTCTATTTATTATTATTTTTGTTTATATTAATTTCTGTATAATAAGTAATTTAATTGTGTTTTAATCAAAGTTTTGTTTTTTATTACATTAAGTTTATTATTATTATCGTTATCCGTAGTTAAGTATTTATAAATAAGATATTAATATATTACTATATTTCAATATAATATATATTTATATATATTATATTATTATTTTTACCACCAGTTATGTGTGTGTGAGTGTAAATCCGGATCAGTTATTGTTTGATGACAAACACACATACACTCGTAGACAATGGCCGTTAACTATATTTGTCCACAAAATTGTAATAAATTTCCGTATTATAACCTAATATCAACCAAACATATCGATTCAGCCAACAGTGTTGTTGATAATGATATTCAATACAAATTTTGTCAACACAATTGTAGTGTAAATGTGTCCACTATATTGGGTACAATCGTCAAAAATTATGTCTATCCCGAAACAAATATTTGTCTATATTTAAACTACTATAATAATAATAAGAGCACTATAACGCTATATTTACCTAACCAGTTTGGTCACCTTGGACCTAGTGAAAAATATGAGATTCTAGTTAAATCAATTCAAGTAAAACTATCGGTACATCCATCCATACAATCCATTCAAGGATCGGGTCTAAACAGTTATTATACAATATTACCTGAAACTACCCAAACAATTGGTAAATTGAAACAACAGTTGGCCACTCTATACGGCTTACGGTCGACTAATTTGGAAATGTTTTTGTCTGATTTGTCAAATAATGCAACTAAACGTCAATTAATCGATGATATGCCCATTGTTTTTGCCTGGCTATACCCGAATATTACCGATAGTTGTATTAATATCCAACTACAGCGGTACTCTAGTTGTACCGATTGTTATGATAGTTGCCGTCAGTATTACTGTCGGATTGACATCAAACAGATCGACCCAAACAACAACAGTAGCGGTGATGAAGAAGATTTTAAATACCCGTTTTGTCGACACACCGTACGGGTCACTGTTGAAGACATATTCAATGCAAGTGTCGATGGATATAACGATACAGATATTTGTTTAGAGATACTTAGCATTAACAACAACACTGATAACACCATCGATGATGATAACAATGATACCAATCGGTGGTTAACTAAAGACAAGTCAATTGATTTTACCGATTATACCGTCGAACAGAAACAAGAGGGTAGTATCGGGTTTGCTGTCCGTGCGGTTCGGGTTCGGATAAATGTGTCGTTGGCTGCACTCAAACAACAATCACAGGGATCGACAGCTAATCAATCATATGATATATTGCCGATACAGACACCAACTATCGGTCAATTGAAACACAAGTTGGCCCTGAAGTACATGTTTGCCACTGAAACCCATACATTATATTTGACTGATTTGTCGGATACCAATGCACCGCAATTGGGACGTCAACTCAACGATTATCAGTCCATTGCTAATGCCTGGCTATACGGCACTTATAGCCGTAGTGTTATTACAGTCATACCCAACAAAGGTGTTAAACATTTGACCGAAGTTATCAACCGATCAAAGTATAGTATAAAAAATCAATTAAAACTTTTTAAAACTTTTTTGTTGTTTATTATCTATGATTTCTATCAAGTGATCTAATCCTCGAAAAGATAACATCACTTTTGACGGCTAATAGTGGCCAAAGTTTTCGCAATCAAACCGCCGATGCCATCACTGATGCTGTCATTAACGCCAACAAGTATTTTATATCTAATTTTTAGTTTTTAATTGTCATTTACTTTAAGTAATTGAGTTTTTATTTTAATTTTTTTATTATTAGTAGTATATTAGCCGAAAATAATAGACAATTATTGGAAAAAATTACTGAAATTAACAATACATTTATGACTGCCAACAGACATAACAAGTATTTATTTAATAAATTAATAATTTATTATTATTATTATCTGTTTTTTTATTGTCATTTACTTTAAGTAATTGAGTTTTTTTAAATATTATTTAATAATAATTATCAGTGACTTATTGATTGAAAAGTTAAAGACTGAATTGTCGACCAATTTGTCGGACACTAGTTATATATTATTATTTAATATCAATTTTATTGTAAAAATTACTAATAATGTATTAATAATGTTAACCAACTATTTATTTATTTTTTAAATTTATTTAATTGTATTAATAATATTTATCTAATTATCAGTGACTTATTGATTGAAAATTTAAAGACTGAATTGTCGACCAATTTGTCTGAAACAATCAAACAGTGTTTTGATAAACAAAGTAAAGCCATAACCGATGCGATCATCACTTCCAACACAAACAACAACATCAAAGACAACAAGTATTTACTATAAAATAGTTTTAAATTAATTTCTGTTTGTTTTCATCAGTGATGTAATAACTAATGTCGTGTTTAGCCAATCAAACCAAACATTTAATGAATGTGTTGACTGTGAGAGACAAATATTTGTCGGATATTTTGGTCGACAAATCGGATATCGATAGCCAATGGACTGGCAGTCAATCAATTGTCCGATTAGTTGACGAATCCATTGATGACTATAACCAAAGCGATGACAACAACAACAAAACAATTGGCAGTCAATCGGTTACCGAATCGTTGGACAATAATATAAATCCAAATGATATCAATATAAGGTAATTGAATAATAAAACCAGTTAAGAATGCTAGAAAGCATTTTTAGAAAAAAACTTGAATAACATTGAAAACTATTAGTTTTATAATTATAACGGCTATATAATAACATAAAAATTTAAAAACTGGTCAAATATAAATAATATAAATATTGTAATGTATGGTATCAAATGATTCAGTATGACAAAATAAACAACTATAGTCATGTGGGGTATCAAATGATTCAGTATAACAAAATAATAATCTATAATTATACATTTGCCGCTTATACTTATTCTTTTTGTTCCCGTAGATATCAAAATTTAATGAATATTTTTTATCCTTGTTTTTGATTCTTTCTTCAAATTTATATTTAAAAAAAATTCTTAAAATTTTTTTATACTTTTGCCGCCATTTAAAAAAAATTATACTGATATATTATATCATATTTTTGATACTCTTTACAATTCTAAACGTTAAAATTTTTACCTAATTTTTTTTTACTTTGGCCGCCATTTTCTTTATGTTCCCAAAGAGATATCAAAATTTTAATGTATATTTTTTATTCTTGTTTTTGATGCTTTATTCAAATCTATACTTAAAAAAAAATTTTTTTAATTTTTTTTACTTTGGCCGCCATTTTGTCTATGTTCCCGAAGAGATATCAAAATTTTAATTAAACTTTTCAATACATTATTAGTAGTCCTCTAACCGAATCTGAAGTCAGAATTTCAAAATTCGCAAAATGAAATGCTACAGACACACACACACACACACACAAAAAAAAAAGGCTCGTATAGATTTCAGAAAACAAAACTTTTCAAGTTTTTTTTGAAAATAGTTTTATTATTATTATTATTATCCGTAATTTGATTTAATTATAATAATATAAGTATTATTTTATTTTTTTAAATAGCAGTACTGATAATTACAATCAATTGAATTGTGAATTTAATGGCAATGTTGTTGACTATCATCGGATCGATGGTAAGCACAGGGACTCGGATGAGATACAGGAGCTCAAGGATATGATTAAACAAATGCAGATAAGAATCAGTGAATTGGAGAAAAAATGATTATTTAATTTTTTTTGTTAAACTTATTATGATTTTGTTATAATTATAATAATTATTTATCAATATATTATTATAATATAATATTAATGGCTTTAATAATTTTTTTAAACAATATTATTTGAATTTATTTTTTTTATAATTTATAAATTTATAATTATTAAACTAAACTATGATTATTTATAATATATCTAACAGTTAGTCAATTAATTGATTACATATATTTATATTTTTTGACTGATTGCCAGACATATTATATTTAACGAATATATAAAATAAAGAAAAAACAATAATATAATAATATTATCCATAATTTTATTTTTTAAAATTTGTTATTAAATTTTTATTACTAAACTTTTAATTATTATTCTAATCTTTTATTATTATAATTATATAAATTGAAGTAATATTTGATAAAATAATTTATATAAAATACATAGTATAATAAATATCTATCAATGATTTTTATTATAATAGTTGTGTTTAAATCAATATTTTTACTAAAATTACAATATATTTATTGTTGGCAAAAAAGAGAAATTTCTATAAAGTTTCTAAAAGAAATTTTATATTTATGGCATCCCCATGGTTAATTTTGTTTTCTCGATATTTGTTATCTTTAACATTATTTTTATAAGTAATAATTAAATATTATTATTAGTATTAGTAATTATTAATTAAAGTAAAAAATTAATTAATTTAATTATATTAAACTATAATATAATAAAATGATGAATAAAATTTTACAAAATTGATTATTATTAAAAATTATAATTATTTATATATTAGGTATCCCATTTGTATAATAATAAACAGTAATCTACATTATATAATATTATATGTATAGTAGTATTGTCTCATTAATATATTTATAGTTTTACAATATCTATAGATATAATATCTATATTCATAGTATAACAATAAATTAAAATTTCTATAGAAATTTATTCAGGAGAAAGTTTCTAGAAACTTTCTATTTGCCCATTTCTAAAAATATGTCTAAATATAAATAATTTATTTAAAAAACAACAAAAATCAAAATTAATCTATCTAGTACAATTTATAATTACTTTTAATTATATAAAAAATACTAATATATATATATATATATATAATACTGTAGTATAAAATTGTATTTATATATTACCTGGATAATCATCAAAATTGCATTTGATAGTAAATTGTATTATTATTAGTACAAAAAAAACAAGTTTCATTGACAATATTTTACCACTAAAACCACCATGATCATTTGTTTGTTGTTTGTGAAATTTTTTTTAGTATTATTTATTATTATGACAATGTGTTTGTAAATAGGTTAAATTTTTTTTGATCAATTTTTATTTATTAATAAAAAAATTATGTAATACAAAAAATATGATAATTTATTATTATTTTTTGTTAAATTAATTTAAAAGTAAACAGATTTTAATTAATCATAAAAAACAATTATAAATTTTTTAAAATCAATAAATAAATTATCAATGAAATATTTGTTTGTTTGTTTGTAATACAGTATATATATTTTTTGTTAAATTAATTTAAAAGTAAACTCATTTTAATTAATTAAGGAAAACATCTGTAAGTTATTATTTGATATTTTTTTAATTAAGTAATTCGTAAATTTTTTTATGTATGTATAAAAATATATATACTTTAAAATTTAAATAATATTATTGTTTTAAAAAATATCATATTTAATTGTTTAATTAATTAAATATATATTTTGATTAAATTTTATTAAATTAGATTTCATAAAATAAAACTATACTACTTTAAAAAAAATATTACAAACAAACAAAAAATATTTATTATAAATGAAATCAATATTAATTTAAAATATTATGATAACTATTATACAGTATATAGTAAATGTTAAATACTTATATAATTAAATCAATGTTATTTATAACTTTATTATTAATTATCTAATCTAATCATAATGTCAATGGCAACAAATAAAATAGTTATTTCAGTTATCATTTACATTTAGAAATTAGTTATATAAAATAATATAGTATATTGTAATTTTATGTTTATTGTTGTGATTAATTTTAATATATATATATATAATTAAATCTAATAAAAACAATTATTATTTAATTTATAATATTTAAAAATAATAATATTGTTATTTTTAAATAAATTGAATTCTATTAAATTTTTGTTTATATTAATTTCTGTACAATTAGTACTTTAATTGTGTTTTGATAATTGTTTTAATCGTTATTTTTTTTAAATGTTAAGTTTATTATTATCGTTATCGTAGTTAAGTATTTAAAAATACTGATATATCATATCATTTATACGATATATCAATACTATATTTTATTATTATATATTTATATTATTATTTTTACCACCATTTATTAGAGTGAATCCGGATCAGTTATTGTTGAAGACAAACACACACACACACATAGACAATGTCTGCTAATTATATTTGTCCACAAAATTGTAATAACTTTCAGCATTGCTGTCGGATATCAACCAAACATATCGATGCTGCCAACAGTGTTAATGATGATAATGATATTCAATACAAATTTTGCCAACACATTAGTATAGTAAATGTGTCCAATATATTGGGTGCAATCGTCAAAAATTATGTCTATCCCGAAACAAATATTTGCCTATATTTAGGCGAAAATACTACTACTACTAATAATAATACCATTAAAAAATACCATTATTTACATGACCAGTTTATTTACATTTATCATAATAGGAAATATGAGATCCTAGTTAAATCAATTCAAGTAAAACTATCCATCCATCCATCCATACAACCCATTCAAGGATCCGGTCTAAACAGTTATAAGGATTATTGTATATTACCTGAAACTACCGAAACAATTGGCAAATTAAAACAACAGTTGGCCACTAAATACGGTTTACAGTTGACTAATTTGATAATGTTTTTGTCTGATTTGACAAATAATAACTTTAAACGTCAATTAACCGATGATATGCCCATTGTTTTTGCCTGGCTATACCCAAATATTACCGATAGTTGTATTAATATCCTACCACAGCGGTACTCTAGTTGTACCGATTGTTATGATAGTTGCCATCAGTATTACTGTCGGATTGACATCAAACAGATCGACCCCAACAACAACAACAGTAGCGGTGGTGATGAAGATATTAAATACCTGTTTTGTCGACACACCGTACGGGTCGCTGTTGAGGATATATTCAAAGCAAGTGTCGATGGATATAGCGATACAGATATTAGTTTAGAAATACTAAGCATTAACAACAACACTGATAACACCATCGATGATGATAATGATAATAATGATACCAATTGGTGGTTAACTAAAGACAAGTCAATTGATTTTACCGATTATACCGTCGAACAGAAACAGTCGGGTAGTATCGGGTTTGCTGTCCGTGCGGTTCGGGTTCGGATAAATGTGTCGTTGGCTGCACTCAAACAACAATCACAGGGATCGACAGCTAATCAAACATATGATATATTGCCGATACAGACACCAACTATCGGTCAATTGAAACACAAGTTGGCCCTGAAGTACATGTTTGCCACTGAAACCCATACATTATATTTGACTGATTTGTCGGATACCAATGCACCGCAATTGGGACGTCAACTCAACGATTATCAGTCCATTGCTAATGCCTGGCTATACGGCACTTATAGCCGTAGTGTTATTACAGTCATACCCAACAAAGGTGTTAAACATTTGACCGAAGTTATCAACCGATCAAAGTATAGTATAAAAAATCAATTAAAACTTTTTAAAACTTTTTTGTTGTTTATTATCTATGATTTCTATCAAGTGATCTAATCCTCGAAAAGATAACATCACTTTTGACGGCTAATAGTGGCCAAAGTTTTCGCAATCAAACCGCCGATGCCATCACTGATGCTGTCATTAACGCCAACAAGTATTTTATATCTAATTTTTAGTTTTTAATTGTCATTTACTTTAAGTAATTGAGTTTTTATTTTAATTTTTTTATTATTAGTAGTATATTAGCCGAAAATAATAGACAATTATTGGAAAAAATTACTGAAATTAACAATACATTTATGACTGCCAACAGACATAACAAGTATTTATTTAATAAATTAATAATTTATTATTATTATTATCTGTTTTTTTATTGTCATTTACTTTAAGTAATTGAGTTTTTTTAAATATTATTTAATAATAATTATCAGTGACTTATTGATTGAAAAGTTAAAGACTGAATTGTCGACCAATTTGTCGGACACTAGTTATATATTATTATTTAATATCAATTTTATTGTAAAAATTACTAATAATGTATTAATAATGTTAACCAACTATTTATTTATTTTTTAAATTTATTTAATTGTATTAATAATATTTATCTAATTATCAGTGACTTATTGATTGAAAATTTAAAGACTGAATTGTCGACCAATTTGTCTGAAACAATCAAACAGTGTTTTGATAAACAAAGTAAAGCCATAACCGATGCGATCATCACTTCCAACACAAACAACAACATCAAAGACAACAAGTATTTACTATAAAATAGTTTTAAATTAATTTCTGTTTGTTTTCATCAGTGATGTAATAACTAATGTCGTGTTTAGCCAATCAAACCAAACATTTAATGAATGTGTTGACTGTGAGAGACAAATATTTGTCGGATATTTTGGTCGACAAATCGGATATCGATAGCCAATGGACTGGCAGTCAATCAATTGTCCGATTAGTTGACGAATCCATTGATGACTATAACCAAAGCGATGACAACAACAACAAAACAATTGGCAGTCAATCGGTTACCGAATCGTTGGACAATAATATAAATCCAAATGATATCAATATAAGGTAATTGAATAATAAAACCAGTTAAGAATGCTAGAAAGCATTTTTAGAAAAAAAACTTGAATAACATTGAAAACTATTAGTTTTATAATTATAACGGCTATATAATAACATAAAAATTTAAAAACTGGTCAAATATAAATAATATAAATATTGTAATGTATGGTATCAAATGATTCAGTATGACAAAATAAACAACTATAGTCATGTGGGGTATCAAATGATTCAGTATAACAAAATAATAATCTATAATTATACATTTGCCGCTTATACTTATTCTTTTTGTTCCCGTAGATATCAAAATTTAATGAATATTTTTTATCCTTGTTTTTGATTCTTTCTTCAAATTTATATTTAAAAAAATTCTTAAAATTTTTTTATACTTTTGCCGCCATTTAAAAAAAATTATACTGATATATTATATCATATTTTTGATACTCTTTACAATTCTAAACGTTAAAATTTTTACCTAATTTTTTTTTACTTTGGCCGCCATTTTCTTTATGTTCCCAAAGAGATATCAAAATTTTAATGTATATTTTTTATTCTTGTTTTTGATGCTTTATTCAAATCTATACTTAAAAAAAAATTTTTTTAATTTTTTTTACTTTGGCCGCCATTTTGTCTATGTTCCCGAAGAGATATCAAAATTTTAATTAAACTTTTCAATACATTATTAGTAGTCCTCTAACCGAATCTGAAGTCAGAATTTCAAAATTCGCAAAATGAAATGCTACAGACACACACACACACACACAAAAAAAAAGGCTCGTATAGATTTCAGAAAACAAAACTTTTCAAGTTTTTTTTGAAAATAGTTTTATTATTATTATTATTATCCGTAATTTGATTTAATTATAATAATATAAGTATTATTTTATTTTTTTAAATAGCAGTACTGATAATTACAATCAATTGAATTGTGAATTTAATGGCAATGTTGTTGACTATCATCGGATCGATGGTAAGCACAGGGACTCGGATGAGATACAGGAGCTCAAGGATATGATTAAACAAATGCAGATAAGAATCAGTGAATTGGAGAAAAAATGATTATTTAATTTTTTTTGTTAAACTTATTATGATTTTGTTATAATTATAATAATTATTTATCAATATATTATTATAATATAATATTAATGGCTTTAATAATTTTTTTAAACAATATTATTTGAATTTATTTTTTTTATAATTTATAAATTTATAATTATTAAACTAAACTATGATTATTTATAATATATCTAACAGTTAGTCAATTAATTGATTACATATATTTATATTTTTTGACTGATTGCCAGACATATTATATTTAACGAATATATAAAATAAAGAAAAAACAATAATATAATAATATTATCCATAATTTTATTTTTTAAAATTTGTTATTAAATTTTTATTACTAAACTTTTAATTATTATTCTAATCTTTTATTATTATAATTATATAAATTGAAGTAATATTTGATAAAATAATTTATATAAAATACATAGTATAATAAATATCTATCAATGATTTTTATTATAATAGTTGTGTTTAAATCAATATTTTTACTAAAATTACAATATATTTATTGTTGGCAAAAAAGAGAAATTTCTATAAAGTTTCTAAAAGAAATTTTATATTTATGGCATCCCCATGGTTAATTTTGTTTTCTCGATATTTGTTATCTTTAACATTATTTTTATAAGTAATAATTAAATATTATTATTAGTATTAGTAATTATTAATTAAAGTAAAAAATTAATTAATTTAATTATATTAAACTATAATATAATAAAATGATGAATAAAATTTTACAAAATTGATTATTATTAAAAATTATAATTATTTATATATTAGGTATCCCATTTGTATAATAATAAACAGTAATCTACATTATATAATATTATATGTATAGTAGTATTGTCTCATTAATATATTTATAGTTTTACAATATCTATAGATATAATATCTATATTCATAGTATAACAATAAATTAAAATTTCTATAGAAATTTATTCAGGAGAAAGTTTCTAGAAACTTTCTATTTGCCCATTTCTAAAAATATGTCTAAATATAAATAATTTATTTAAAAAACAACAAAAATCAAAATTAATCTATCTAGTACAATTTATAATTACTTTTAATTATATAAAAAATACTAATATATATATATATATATATAATACTGTAGTATAAAATTGTATTTATATATTACCTGGATAATCATCAAAATTGCATTTGATAGTAAATTGTATTATTATTAGTACAAAAAAAACAAGTTTCATTGACAATATTTTACCACTAAAACCACCATGATCATTTGTTTGTTGTTTGTGAAATTTTTTTTAGTATTATTTATTATTATGACAATGTGTTTGTAAATAGGTTAAATTTTTTTTGATCAATTTTTATTTATTAATAAAAAAATTATGTAATACAAAAAATATGATAATTTATTATTATTTTTTGTTAAATTAATTTAAAAGTAAACAGATTTTAATTAATCATAAAAAACAATTATAAATTTTTTAAAATCAATAAATAAATTATCAATGAAATATTTGTTTGTTTGTTTGTAATACAGTATATATATTTTTTGTTAAATTAATTTAAAAGTAAACTCATTTTAATTAATTAAGGAAAACATCTGTAAGTTATTATTTGATATTTTTTTAATTAAGTAATTCGTAAATTTTTTTATGTATGTATAAAAATATATATACTTTAAAATTTAAATAATATTATTGTTTTAAAAAATATCATATTTAATTGTTTAATTAATTAAATATATATTTTGATTAAATTTTATTAAATTAGATTTCATAAAATAAAACTATACTACTTTAAAAAAAATATTACAAACAAACAAAAAATATTTATTATAAATGAAATCAATATTAATTTAAAATATTATGATAACTATTATACAGTATATAGTAAATGTTAAATACTTATATAATTAAATCAATGTTATTTATAACTTTATTATTAATTATCTAATCTAATCATAATGTCAATGGCAACAAATAAAATAGTTATTTCAGTTATCATTTACATTTAGAAATTAGTTATATAAAATAATATAGTATATTGTAATTTTATGTTTATTGTTGTGATTAATTTTAATATATATATATATAATTAAATCTAATAAAAACAATTATTATTTAATTTATAATATTTAAAAATAATAATATTGTTATTTTTAAATAAATTGAATTCTATTAAATTTTTGTTTATATTAATTTCTGTACAATTAGTACTTTAATTGTGTTTTGATAATTGTTTTAATCGTTATTTTTTTTAAATGTTAAGTTTATTATTATCGTTATCGTAGTTAAGTATTTAAAAATACTGATATATCATATCATTTATACGATATATCAATACTATATTTTATTATTATATATTTATATTATTATTTTTACCACCATTTATTAGAGTGAATCCGGATCAGTTATTGTTGAAGACAAACACACACACACACATAGACAATGTCTGCTAATTATATTTGTCCACAAAATTGTAATAACTTTCAGCATTGCTGTCGGATATCAACCAAACATATCGATGCTGCCAACAGTGTTAATGATGATAATGATATTCAATACAAATTTTGCCAACACATTAGTATAGTAAATGTGTCCAATATATTGGGTGCAATCGTCAAAAATTATGTCTATCCCGAAACAAATATTTGCCTATATTTAGGCGAAAATACTACTACTACTAATAATAATACCATTAAAAAATACCATTATTTACATGACCAGTTTATTTACATTTATCATAATAGGAAATATGAGATCCTAGTTAAATCAATTCAAGTAAAACTATCCATCCATCCATCCATACAACCCATTCAAGGATCCGGTCTAAACAGTTATAAGGATTATTGTATATTACCTGAAACTACCGAAACAATTGGCAAATTAAAACAACAGTTGGCCACTAAATACGGTTTACAGTTGACTAATTTGATAATGTTTTTGTCTGATTTGACAAATAATAACTTTAAACGTCAATTAACCGATGATATGCCCATTGTTTTTGCCTGGCTATACCCAAATATTACCGATAGTTGTATTAATATCCTACCACAGCGGTACTCTAGTTGTACCGATTGTTATGATAGTTGCCATCAGTATTACTGTCGGATTGACATCAAACAGATCGACCCCAACAACAACAACAGTAGCGGTGGTGATGAAGATATTAAATACCTGTTTTGTCGACACACCGTACGGGTCGCTGTTGAGGATATATTCAAAGCAAGTGTCGATGGATATAGCGATACAGATATTAGTTTAGAAATACTAAGCATTAACAACAACACTGATAACACCATCGATGATGATAATGATAATAATGATACCAATTGGTGGTTAACTAAAGACAAGTCAATTGATTTTACCGATTATACCGTCGAACAGAAACAGTCGGGTAGTATCGGGTTTGCTGTCCGTGCGGTTCGGGTTCGGATAAATGTGTCGTTGGCTGCACTCAAACAACAATCACAGGGATCGACAGCTAATCAAACATATGATATATTGCCGATACAGACACCAACTATCGGTCAATTGAAACACAAGTTGGCCCTGAAGTACATGTTTGCCACTGAAACCCATACATTATATTTGACTGATTTGTCGGATACCAATGCACCCCAAGAGGGACGTCAACTCAACGATGACCAGTCCATAGCTAATGCCTGGCTATACGGCACTTATAGCCGTAGTGTTATTACAGTCATACCCAACAAAGGTGTTAAACAATTGACTGATGTTATCAACCGATCAAAGTATAGCATTTAAATTAATTAAGACTTTTTAAACTTTTTTTGTTTGTTTTTTATTATCTGTGATTTTTTTCTAGTGATCTAATCCTCGAAAAGATAACAACACTTCTGACGGCTAATAGTGGCCAAAGTTTTCGCAATCAAACCACTGATGATATCACTGATGCTGTCATTAATGCCAACAAGTATTTTATATCTGATTTTTAGTTTTTAATTGTCATTTACTTTAATAATTGATTTTTTAAAATTTTTATTATTATTAGTAATATATTAACCGAAAATAACAAACAATTGTTGCAAACAATTAGCCAGAGTTTAATCACTGTCAACAATAACAATAAGTATATATCATATATAACTTTATATAAATGTAATTTTATATATATTATTACAATTATTACTTAAAAATATTGTTTTTTATTATTATTTAATAATAATTATCAGTGACTTATTGACTGCAAAGTTAACTGAATTATCGACCAATTTGTCGGACACTATGAGAGACTGTTTTACTAATCAAACCATTAGTATCACTGATACTGTAATCACTAACAACAATAACAATAAGTATTATTAATTTTTCAAAAAATTTAATATCAATTTTATTGCTAAAATATTTTTTTTAAAAAATTGTATTAATCTGTAAAAAAGCTAAATTTTTTAACAATTGATTTATATATTTATTAAATAATATTTATTTATACATATCAGTGATTTATTGATTGAAAAGTTGACTGAATTGTCGACCAATTTGTCTGAAACAATGTCGACAATGAATACATGTTTGACTGAAACAATCAATAAGTGTTTCGCTAATCAATCAAAAGCCATAACCGATGCGATCATCACTTCAAACACCAATAAAGACAACAAGTATTTACTATAAAATAGTTTTTTTTTAAATTAATTCAATTATTCAAAAATAATTTATGTTTGCTTTTACTTGTCTTTCAGTGATGTAATAACTACTGGAAAACTAATGTCGTGTTTAGCCAATCAAACCAAACATTTAATGAATGTGTTGACTGTGAGAGACAAATATTTGTCGGATATTTTGGTCGACAAATCGGATACCGATAGCCAATGGACTAGTAGTCAATCAATTGTCCGATTAGTTGACGAATCCATTGATGACGATAACCAAAGCGATGACAACAACAACAAAACAATTGGCAGTCAATCGGTTACCGAATCGTTGGACAACAACCACAACAACACTAATCCAAATGATATCAATATTAAGTAATTGAATAATAAAAAATAGTTTTATTATTATTGTTAAGTAATTTGATTTAATTATAATAATATAAGTATTATTTTATTTTATTTTTTTAAAATAGCAATACTGATAATTACAATCAATTGAATTGTGAATTTAATGGCAATGTTGTTGACTATCATCAGATCGATGTCAAGCACAGGGACTCGGATGAGATACAGGAGCTCAAGGATATGATTAAACAAATGCAGATAAGAATCAGTGAATTGGAGAAAAAATGATTATTTAATTTTTTTTTTGTTGAAACTTATTATGATTTTGTTATATAATTATAATAACTATTTATCAAATATATTATTATTATTATTATATAATATTAATGGCTTTCATTATTTTTTTTAAAAAAAACATTATTTGAATTTAAGTTTATTTTATTTTAATAATTTTTAAAATATATTATTATTAAACTAAACTAGGTCAACATATATTAACTTTATAATATAAATTAATAAGTAATATTTGATAAAATGATTTAAATGATAATACAGTGTATAAAAAATATCAATGATTTTTAGTAGTTGTTTAAAGCAATTTTTTTTAAAAAAATATTTATATTATTTAATTAAATACTAAATATGTATTTTAAAAAAAAAACATTGATTACTCTTTGAGATATATACTATTTTTTTTAAATTTTAAAATTTATATACAAGTTATATTATAAGAACATTATAAATCTCTAAAAAAGTAATATTTATTAATTTAATTAAAAAATTTTTTTTTCACTTTTTTGAAAAAATTTTGCAAACAAATAATTAATTAATTAATAAAAACTATAAATATATAATTTAATTAATAAAAACTATAAATATATAATTTAATTAATAAAAACTATAAATAAATAATTTAATTAAAAAAAACTGTTACCTTAATATTTAAAAAATAATTTCAGTTATCAAATAGTTTTCAAATCAAACAGTCTATTAATTAGTTAGAAAATAAAAAAAAAATTTTAAATTAATTAAAACAACAAAATGTATACTAAAATATTTATGATAATAATTGTTATCAATCAGTCACTGGTAAACAATAATGCAATGGTTGACGGTATGTATTATTTTTTTGATTATTTAATTAATATAAATATATAATTTATTAAAAAAAAATAATAAATAAATTTTTTAATTAAAAAATAAGTATAAATATAAACATTTGTAAATACAGTATATATTATTTATTCTAATGTTTGAATTATTATTTGTATTTTAACTATAAATTAGTTGCTATTATTTAAATTTGCTATATTTTTAAAGCTAATATTTTCAACAACAAAAAAACTTTGAAAAAGTTTAATTTACTGAAATCTATACGAGTCTGTCTGTCTATGTGTCTGTGTGTCTGTCTGACTGTCTGTCTGTAGCATTTCATTTTGCGAATTTATAAATTCTGATTTAGAGATTCGGTTAAAGGACTACTAATAATCTATAAAAAAAAGTTGCATTAAAATTTTGATATCTTTTACGGGAACATAGAGAAAATGGCGGACAAAGTAAAAAAATTTTAGGTAAAAAGTTTAACGTTTAGAATTGTATAGAGCAACAAACAATTAAGATATAATAAATCAGAATTATTAATCTATTTTTTTTAAAAAATGGCGGCAAAAGTATTATTTTTTGCTGTTTATTTTGTTATACTTAGACATTTAATACCGCACATGAGTAGTTGTTTATTTTGTTATACCGAGTCATTTGATACCCCACATGACTAAAGTTTGGTTTATTTTGTTATACCGAGTCATTTGATACCCTACATGACTAAAGTTGAGTTTATTTTGTTATATTGATTTATCTGAAAACCTACATGACTATAGTTGTGTATATTATTTCATACCGAGACATTTGATACCCTACATGACTATAATTGAGTTTATTATGACATACTGAATCATGTCTATAGTTGATTTTATTTTGTCATACCAAGTCATTTGTCTATATGACTAAAATCAACTGACAATTTGCTAACATTATATTTTATTCCATCAATTTTTTTTCTGAAAATGTTTTCTAACATTCTTAACTTGTTTTTATTTAAAATTAATTAAGGTTTTTAGTTTTTCTATTAAAAGAAAAATTAAGCAATAATTAATTAAAATGCTATTTTTATTGTGTAATTTTTATTGCTAAATATAAATGTATGTATGTATGTGTTTGTATATGTGTGTATATGTGTGTATGTATGTGTGTGTGTATGTGTGTGTGTATGTGTGTGTATGTATGTGTATGTGTGTGTATGTGTGTGTATGTGTGTGTATGTGTGTGTATGTGTGTGTATGTGTGTGTATGTGTGTGTGTATGTGTGTGTATGTGTGTGTATGTGTGTGTGTATTACTTAATAAACTATTTATAACTATTAAAACAAATTACACAATAAAATGGCCAAAAATAAATTAAAATTAATATTTTACTAATAATATATAATAACATATTTGCAGTTATAAAATGATTATCTAATCAAACAAAAATTAGTCGGTCGAATCATTCAAATAGTTAGAATGTCTCAATGTTAGAATCAATTATCAAAATTAAAACAAAAATGATAACAAAAATATTTATGATAATAATTTTATTAGTTGTTAACAATCAGTCATTGATTAATAATATTGTTATGGTTGACGGTATGTATTAATTAATATATATAACAATATATAATTTATTCAAAAAAAATAACAATATTTTTATTTAAAAATAACATTATATGTATATACTGTATAAGTATATAAACATTTTCCTATATTGTAATCTATAATTACCTAAAAATTATTTATAATAATAAATATATATACTATAGATGTGTTTACTTTGTTAAAAAAAACTAATAATAATAATAATAATAATAATAATATATAAATCTTTATTAACCACTAATCTCTTCACAATTATATATAATCAACAAAAAAATAGAATAAATATTATTATTTATAAATATAATTTATATGTATTTTATTTGAAAAAAAAATTATTTATCAAAAAATTTTTATTTTAATATTTTTTTTAAAAAATAATAATACTATAGCTAAAGCTCCGGCTAAAGGTCTTAAAGCTACTGTTCCTAAAGTTAAGGCATGTTATGATGTAGGAGAAGCATGCGATATGGATAGGACTAAACCAAATCGTAGAGTATGTTGTATACAATTTTCGTGTAGACCTAAAAATAAAAATGATCGACGATTTACATCACTTTGGACATGTGAAGCTGGAGAATAATTTAATTAATTAATTAAATTATAATTATTTTGTGTATTATTATACTAATGCAATAAAAAAAATAATTTTTGAACAATGTAACAATTTTTTTAATTAATTTAAATAAAAACATATTATTTTACAGTTTATATAAAAATTGAAACACCCTGTCTATAACTGTCATCGAGAGAGAGAGATTACATAAAAATTAATTAATTACATGACTATTTTTTGATTATTAAACTTATTATGATTTTGTTATAATTATAATAACATATTTAGATTTAATAAAAAAATTGATTTTTTAAGCTGTAGTCATCAATAGTTAGTCTTAATTAAACAAAAATAAAATGAATACTAAAATTATAGTTTTAATAGTTGTTATCAATTTAAAATCTAAATAATTAATTATATAATAAATATTATATATATATATATATTAAAATTTATTAAGGGTTTATAAATACTTTTATTAACCACTAATCTGTAGTTTTACTAAAACCTATTTATAAATATAATCAACACAAAAAAAACAGAATTATTATTATTATTATTATTATTTATAATTATAAATATTTAATTTATATGTATATTTTATATTAAAAAAAATATTTATAAAAATTTTAATATTAATTTTTTTTAATTATTTTTAATATTTAAACAACAACAACAACAATAATAATAATAATACAGCCAAAGCTCATGCCGGTTCTAAAGCTACTATTCCTAGACCTCCCTGTTATGGTGATGGAAAACCATGCGATATATATAGAAATACTAAAAATCAGAGAATATGTTGTATTCAATTTTCGTGTAAAGCTAAAGAAAATGACAAACGTCCAAATGCACCTAGGACATGTGTTAAGGGACAAGATAATTAATTAATAATTAATAATAATTAATAATAATTAATAATAATTAATAATAATTAATAATAATTAATAATTAATAATAATTAATAATTAATAATAATTAATAATAATTAATAATAATTAATAATAATTAATAATAATTAATAATAATTAATAATAATTAATAATAATTAATAATAATTAATAATAATTAATAATAATTAATAATAATTAATAATAATTAATAATAATTAATAATAATTAATAATAATTAATAATAATTAATAATAATTAATAATAATTAATAATAATTAATAATAATTAATAATAATTAATAATAATTAATAATAATTAATAATAATTAATAATAATTAATAATAATTAATAATAATTAATAATAATTAATAATAATTAATAATAATTAATAATAATTAATAATAATTAATAATAATTAATAATTAATAATAATTAATAATAATTAATAATAATTAATAATTAATAATAATTAATAATAATTAATAATTAATAATAATTAATAATTAATAATTAATAATTAATAATTAATAATTAATTAATAATGATAATGATAATAATTATACTTGTGATTTAAAATATTTATTTCTGTATAAAAACAATTAATTTTTAAATAAATCCATATTATGTTAAACATAATTTTTTCTATTGTTTATTGAATATAAATTTACATCAAACAGTTTTTTTAACTTAAAAATAATAATAATAACATATTATTATATATAGTTTAAAACATTTTATATTCAACTAGTTGTTTATTTATATGATACAGTATTATATATATACTATACGGTATAGGAGAGAGAGAGAGAGAGAGATAACATAAAAATTAATTAAAATATTTTTTGTTTGACAATCACTATACTAGTATATATTTTTTAATATACATTTTTCTGAAATAATTAAAGGAAAAACAAAAAAAAAATTGTTAAATAAAAAAATATTTATAACATTTACTTTAGATAGGTATTTGCTGAAACTTTAAATTTATTTTAATTAATAACTATAAAATTATTGGTCCGATTGATCTAAAATTTAATATATATGTGCAAAATTAAATTATTTATTAAAATATATTAATTAAAATATCAATTTCCAAAATTTGCTTAACCGCGCCTGCTACTTTATATATTATATAAAAAAATTTTATAAATA